TAAGACATTGAATAATAATACTAAAATTTGATTTATAATCTACAGTTTGATACCAAGCTAATTGACATAAATTCATGAAATAGTAGTTCAATAAAATTTTGAATGAGAGTCAACAAATGATATGACATGGCCTTTCACCCATGACCCATCTCAAAAGGGTTAAAATAGGAAATATTAAGAAACAAGTATTTGCAAAAGGTATCTTATTTCAAGTCTCTCCACCCACAAGTTTTATAATTTTAAACCAAGTAAAAAGTGTTTACTTGTAAGTTAATGCATATAAAATGTTTTTTTTATTGCATGATTTTTCTCTTTCAAAGGTTGAGGTCCTTCCTAGGGATATACAGCTTCCTTTAATCTTTGCCCTTCCAGACCACACTCGCTTCTCTTTGGTAGACTTTCCTCTTCACTTACCTCTGGAACTCTTGGGGGTTGACACTTGTATGAAAGTTCTGACATGCATTATTTTGGAGAACAAGGTATGTTTATTGCATGTAGCTTATAGTTCACTTTTTTTCAAGTGTTAATAGTCTTGGTTTTCTCTGTATTTAAAAAAACATGCATATTACATTATGGAATGATGCTTATGCTAAAATAACTTTATTTTTATATTCAAAAAAGAATATAACTAGTATTGTAGTGATTAACTAAGTAGTTCTTCCTGTGGTATTTGAAGTGTAGCTTCAGTACATTTTCTAGATTAATTTATAGTTCCTTCAGTTAACACTTTTAAAGCAAGTAAAGCAGATACATTGTCAGAAGATTAAATAGATAATAGAGCCGGGCAATTAACTTGATTGATATGGTCACTTACTTATTATAAGAACCTAATACATTGAATAATGGCATGTAAAATAACCTGTCAATCAAAATTAATGTCAGGAAAGTAATCAACTAGTTGAAATTAGTGTTTCCAAATATTATTGTTTTTTATTATTCCTATTACCTAATCAATCAAAATGTTGTCATTATGATTTCTCACTGTTATTTTTGAATAACTAAAGTTTATTCAGTTTATTAGTGTCACTACTCACAGAAATAATCAACTAATGGAAATTACTCTTTTTTACTAATAATAATGAGATTGACCATGACATGAAACAACAGCTATTACTACTTTTGTTGGTAAGATTGCACATGACAGTATTCAGGCTATCTGCTTTTACACAACTCATAAATGTGAGGGTGTGGCTTAGTGAGTATTGGTCTTACATAACTAGCTACAGTGATTCCTGTTGTTGGTATTTACCATTTTTGGAGTAAACAGTATTGTAGCTTTAATTTAATATTGTGCTTTCCTATTAAATGCTACAAATGTATCCAGTGTTACTTAGGGTAAGATTGCTAAAAAAAAATGACAACAGCTTAACTTTCAACCCGGGCTCAGTCTGTGGGACCATCCTCATAACCATTTTGTGCTTGTTATAGTTTTCATACTATAACTTTTAAATTAGTTAGTGAATGTTAACGAAATTTGGCAGTTTATCAGTAAACATTACAATGCTTTCATATGCAAAATATCTAATTTCTTTATTAACTTTTAAGGTTTGTAAAGCAGTGATTCTCTCATGTCTTTTTTTCTTTTCACATCTTGCCTATCTATCATGCAAAGTAATTTTCATCTTAACATTAAAAATACTTTTATGCATCAGGAAATTTTGAAATTTCACATGAGAAATCTTTATAATGTCCAAATAGTTATCATTTCATTTCATAAGAAAAAAAACTATATTTTATCTGTTATTTTCAGTAAGTAATCTCTGTACGGGTTTGGTAAATTTTACCGATCTCACAACCACCATAAAAAATTAGGAAATAAACATAAATTATGAATTATTCATTCTAGAATGATCACAAATTATGACACGAAAACATAAATGTTTAGACGAAATAGCTTAAACTCATAACATTATACATTTATATATATTTATAAAAAATTAGGAAATATATATAAATTATGCTTTTTTCGTTCAAGAATTACTCAAAATTATAATTTGAAAACATAAATGTTTAGACTAAATAGCTTAAATCTCATGGCATTTGTACATATTTATTAATTTTATTATATTGACCTTTCATCCATGCCTGGCTAACAATACAGAAGTTACAACAACGTGGCTCATATGCACTCATGATGCCGTATCAAATAGCATAAAACTGACCTTTGGTCTGAACACAGTAACTTGTCTTGGCTGTGTTTTAGTCGACTAGTATTTTGTAAAATACTGTCACATTTCAGTTATTATAATATGTATATAGATTATTGCTATTTTGAAATAAGTTTTTAGTTATTTTTTCCTAGAACATAGAACAGTAAATAAAGAAGTAAAGCAAACAATTATCTCTTCTAGTTACGACCTTTGTACCTGGTTGCTGTTTGATGTAGGTTGCTAAGCCTTTAAAAATTTTGCATGTGGAGAACATGAAACCAAATATTATTTTTAGGTTTTATATATACTTTGAAAAACTAGAAAATCAAAAATTACTACATCAATACCATAGAATTGTACTATTATTTATCAAACGTAATAACTAAGCTGTATTTGGGTCTAAAGCAATGGAAAGGGAAAACAAAAGTTTGCATGTTAATGTGTTCCATTTGAACATTGCATAGCACAGTAAAGGTTAAGCTGTATGATTGATTTCTCAGCATGCTTATGTGTTTCTTCCAACCTATTAATATATACAATATTAATAA